GGGGGGGGGGGAAGAGGGATGGCTACCATGTTAGCATTGACCCAATAGCCTTAGGACTAGCTGCTGAGCATGCATTGACCTGCATAACCCTGTAGATCTGGTGTCATGTTCTGGAGGTTTCTTAAGGGAGCAGATGAGAGGCTTCCATGACTTTGTGAGACAAAAGCCACCTCTCTGATCATACTGTGAGTGTGGATCCCAATCTCAATGGCCTCCCTAGCGATGCGATCCACGTATTGGTTCTTAGTGGCGAGGATTGCAGTATTGTGAAATTGAATACGGTGACCCAAGTTGATGCTGTGCTCAGCCATGGCTGTAGAGAATTCATTCAAGCAGCATGAGCAGGTGGCTGCAGACTGAGCCGCCAGTTGAAGACATCCATCTATGTAAGAACAGGAATGGAGGAAAAGGGCACTTGGGAAATCAATAGAGGGGAGTGGAGAAGTGTCTGTGGAGATGGGCCAGCAGATAGCCGTTATAGGATCTTGTCGTTGGGGGGGGGGGGGGGGGGGGGGGGACAGGGGGGNGAGGGATGGCTACCAGGTTAGCATTGACCCAATAGCCTTGGGGCTAAGCTGCTGAGCATGCATTGACCTGCATAGCCTTGTAGGTCTCGTGTCATGTTCTGGAGGTTTCCTAAGGGAGCAGAAGAGAGGCTTCCATGACTTTGTGAGACAGAAGCCACCTCTCTGATCATATTGTGAGTATGGATCCCAATCTCAATGGACTCCCTAACGATGCGATCCACGTATTGGTTCTTGTTGGCGAGGATGGCGATATTGGGAAATGTATCGCGGTGACCCAAGTTGATGCTCTGATCAGCCATGGCTGACTTCTCTGATGTTCATGATGGATGTACTGTTAATGCTCCTTCAGCCTCATACCACAGAACGACCTGTCTGCCCGATGTAAACCCTGCTGCACTCACATGGGATTCTGTATACAAACGGTGTCCTGAAGCCCAAGTTATCTTTGACCAGCCAAAGGAAATAAGATACATTCTTGGGAATCTGACCCACTGTTTTGATGCTGTGCAGACGCCTGCTCACTCTGGTTTCTCACCCATGGGTTTTTTACTCTGATAATGGAGACGTTATATTCATCCGAAGTGTCGGTTCACACAAGATCTACATGGCACCACGTCACAAAAGATGGCATTTTTATAAATACAGTTGTTTGTGTTTATACAATTATTCACTTTTCTACAAGTTTGCAGAGGAATCATTTAAGGAAATTGTTTTCCGAATAATATAGGATTTATTAATTCCAGAATTATCTTTGAATTTATTCTTTAGTATTTGTTTCTATAATTTATAATTGTATATTTCAAATTTCTGCAATAATTAATTTTTGCTTTTATAATTTATAATGTACAATTGTCTTCCCCTATATATCTGATAATACAAAGAATTAACAATGTAAATATTCTGTAATAAGAAATATTTGTTACTGTAATTTATACTTGTATATTTAAACTTTCTGTTTAGCAAACAGACTTTTGTGGAAGAATAAAATTTGTTGGATTGTAATGCTTTATAGTTTGATGTTTTGGTAGAATATTGGAGTCCTGTTGATGTACACGCCATTTTGACCCTGAAGATCCTACTCTTCATAGTCACTACTGTAAGAACGCAAAATCAAACGTAGTTTTCTGTTTATTAATTAAGTTTAATATATTGTAATCTCGGAGTCGCTTCTTAGAAAGTAGTTGCTTGTTGGCCATAGTTGTGGTATTGTCATTTGCTAGTGTGTGGAAGACCGAGCAGGTTGTTCTAGTGGTAACGCTCCAGATTTCGAATTTTGAGGTGCTAGTTCCGAATTTTGGCCAGGACACTGATAATCGTGATGTTTTCGTGGCTTTTCTTGAACCCCCTCCTCCAAACAAATGCACAGACAGTACATGACTGCTTCTTTACAGATCCATTCGAGTTCATTATTCACTAGGCCTGCCTTTGAACACTATAGTCTTATAGTGTTAAAGGCAGTTGCTTGGGAATGGCTGTTGGAAACACTGCAAGCTGGAGAAGCCATAGAATGTAGTGATTCGGCAATTGTGGAGATCAGGGATAGTGCTGGAATTACTTTTATTTTTGAAATGTGTAAATTAATCCAATTGAAACCCTGTCTGTAGTCACGCCGCCAATGTTTCTTATAGATTCCTGTGGCTTCTGTTTCAGATCACTGATTTTAAAAATTTAGACAAAATTATGTTTTTATGAGATTGAGGATATCTCTGAAGTGACTATGAAATTCACTGTCTTCATTGATACATCTAACAGATGCTGGACCATACGGTGTTTTTGCCCAGAGGGCGGTACTTAAAGTACTTAAAGTACTTAAGCAAGAAGTGCGCCTTGTAAGGAATTGAATGAAAGACGTTCATTATCATTGTGTAATATCAATATCTTTAAAATGGTTAAAAGCAAGGAAATATTGATTGACATTACTAAAACAAATTAAAGTTAGTTATATTTTCAAGTGGGCAGTATTCGTATAGAAGTAACGAAAGTTTCGTCATTTACTTGAACTTTTGTCAATGTCAGTGAAAGTGTTCAAAAGCATACAAGCCTTAATAACAATTATTGATCCCTTGAAATCGATGGAATTTATATGTAGCGGTCCTTGTGTTATAGAAGCCTCATATCACAATTTGGATAAAAGAACATGAGGATTCAGCTGATAGATCCCATAGAGGAAGTGCTTAAGAGCCTTAGATTGGTTTGGACATGGTGGTACAATGATTTCGGCAGAAACCTGCTTGCCCCATTCCTTGTGGCTGTTATTTTAATGGCCTCACACTTTATCTCCCAGAACAATTCTAAAACGGGTTTCATTTTTACGACCTTCACATATCAAAATATTCTTTAATTCGCTTAGTGGGCGGGTGGGAGGAGTCCTACTGGGTCCACTTGGCACGGCGGCCACTGATTGGCCCATTGTAGCCTGCCCCGGGTAATTATGATGATGGAGAATTTGATGGAATGAAGATTGGCAGGGGAAACCGAAGTACTCGGAGAAAACCTGCACCAGCGCCACTTTGTCCACCACAAATCCCACTTGGCCAGACCCCGGGATCGAACCCTGGCCGCCGCGGTGGGAAGCCATCGACTAACCGCTTCAGCTATGGCGCGGCCTGCTCAAAATATTTTACTGATACGATTACTGTTGTAATGCAAATTGGCCCACTATCACTCGGGTGCCTTTGAACCCATTTACATATGTACATCACTTGTCCAGAATGACCACTTTCATTGTTAACTTTAACACGGAATCCGATGAAATATTTACACTTAAAATTCGAGTAGAGACCATTGAAATGTTGACGGACTAACTTAAAACTTTGCCAAAATACCTAATCCCAATAATTTCAAAAGTTATGAGAGGACAGTTACATTACTTGCCTACTTACTCATGCAGCTGAGCCCTACTTGTGGAGCTGCCAATTCTGCAGCTACTCAAGAATATCCCAGCATTTTATGGAACCCGAAGATTCATTACCGTGTTCATAAGAGTCCTCCACTGGTCCCTATCCTGAGCCAGATCAATCTAATCTATACCATCCCATCCTATCTTTCTAAGATCAATTTTAATATTGTCCACATACCTACGCCTTGGCCTTCCCAGTGGTCTCGTCTGGCTATATAGATTCCTCTTCTCCCTTCTTCTCCCTTATTCGTGCTACATGTTCATCCTCTTTGACTTGATCATCCTAATTATACTACGAGAAGAGTACAAGTTATAGAGCTCCACAGTCACATGCGTACTTGATATAATGTCATATGCATAATAGTGCTTATATGTAGAGGAAAATTTTCGAGATAGTGGAGGGAGCCTCTTCGTCTTCTTCGACTGTCAACAGTGAATATCATAATTGTAATTGGTAGCCACTAAACTAAGATATATATATTTTTTTTCTTTCATCTCAACTTGACATACTCCAACAGGCGGAGGCTGATTTAGGCTTAAGGTACAAGATAAATTGATAGAAATTAGTAGCTATTTTTTAAACATTATTACCAATGTTTATACTCATCCGCTCGTATTCTGCGTGATCTTAAATGCAATAAATGGATAGACACTTCGTAATAAACAAGTTTCGTTTGTAGTTACAATTTCCAAAAATA